GGAAATTTTTGCAAAATTTGGTGTCACTAAACACTGCAAATTAGAAAAAACTTACTTTTGTGCCAACGCCTAAGCTGGGGAAAAGTCTGATATTTTCTTCTAATCCTGCAGAAAATTTTGAAGGAAAGATGAAAAAATCAATCACTGTGTGGCATTCTTACTGCATATCTGTATTGCATTGTGTTGAGTAAGAAGTTTGCAAATCCTGCAGAAAATTTTGAAGGAAAGATGAAAAAATCAATCACTGGGTGGCATTCTTACTGCATATCTGTATTTCATTGTGTTGAGTAAGAAGTTTGCAAAAATTTTGAACCATTTCCAGTAATATTATAACAGGCTTTGTGCCAAATAGGATTCTTTTTTATAATAATAGGGATATTTTGTAACAGGGACATTTTTGCAAAATTTGGTGTCACTAAACACTGCAAATTAGAAAAAACTTACTTTTGTGCCAACGCCTAAGCTGGGGAAAAGTCTGATATTTTCTTCTAATCCTGCAGAAAATTTTGAAGGAAAGATGAAAAAATCAATCACTGGGTGGCATTCTTACTGCATATCTGTATTTCATTGTGTTGAGTAAGAAGTTTGCAAAAATTTTGAACCATTTCCAGTAATATCATTGCTTCTAGCATTTTATTCAGGAAATACATGCGCTTGGGGATTATTCAATAAATAATGATGCGAGCAGGTTACATTTTGAAGGATCACCAGTGATCTAATATTTGTACTAAGTGCTCAACTGGAGCATAAGCATGATGGGTATTTTATTATTTCTCAAACACTTTAGGCATTTTTCAGGTTCTCAATTTTTGCTTCAGATTAGTTCTGTGGCTTAAAAGTAATTATGTGCATGAAAATGAGCAGAGGATTTCCATCTGACTTATGCATAAAACATACATTACCCTCTTTCCTGATGTGAGGAAAAAACATCATATGGAAACTAAAGCACCAAAAACTGGAGAAACCTGGTGAAAAATTAAAATATTTCAACTAAATTCTATGATTGTTTCAAAAATTCAATGTTTGTAATTTTGCAGGGTTCAATGGGCCCTGAAGATTGGCTAAGAAAATATTTCATGATTTCTGAATGAAAAAAAAACTCCATGTGAAATTTTTGAAAATTTCCCCATTTATTTGAATTCAAATCATTTTTGAAAATTGTTCCAATACCTGAAATTCCATTATTTTCTCAGGCTCTATATACACCCTACCTTTAGATCCTTTAATATTTTTGTTCATTGAAAAGTGTTCAGAACTAATGAATTAAAATAAAACTGGAGAAACCTGGTGAAAAATTAAAATATTTCAACTAAATTCTATGATTGTTTCAAAAATTCAATGTTTGTAATTTTGCAGGGTTCAATGGGCCCTGAAGATTGGCTAAGAAAATATTTCATTATTTCTGAATGAAAAAAAAACTCCATGTGAAATTTTTGAAAATTTCCCCATTTATTTGAATTCAAATCATTTTTGAAAATTGTTCCACTACCTGAAATTCCATTATTTTCTCAGGCTCTATATACACCCTACCTTTAGATCCTTTAATATTTTTGTTCATTGAAAAGTGTTCAGAACTAATGAATTAAAAAAATTTTAAATGGCAAGTGAAAATTTTGAAAACTTCAAAAAACAACTTCAAAAATTTCTTCCCCATATGAATTCCCACTGTGGTTCTGCAAATTTCAATATTTTGAAAATTCCATTGAAAAATGTTTTTGCGATTTTCGTATGTTTCTCAAAAATCTTTTTGTGTTTTCTGCTGAATTCTTGTCAATTTTCAACCTTTTTGAAATAAATTTGTTTCCTTTAAAACGTTTGTAGTCGCGCGTAGGTTGTAACTTTCTTTAAAACTCAAAACAGTTTATAACTAAAAAACTGTGTAAAAGTTTCAGTTAAAGTCAGGAAACGAAAATTTCTGAGTTTTATGTTTAACTCATAACACATTTTTGTGTAATGGACCAATTTCAGTTTTGATATTTTTGTTGGATGCACATTCAATTTCTACAAATTTTGGAATTTTTGTTGTTGAAATAAGTTGAAAATTGAAAGAGTAATGAATAAGAAGACTTAACGATTGTGAAAAAAAGATTCCCCCGGGTGGGATTGTTGGCCCCAGAACGTACAACCACACGACCCGAAGTGAGGTGGAATGGTGGGCACGATGCCGCGTGTCGATACGACACGCCAAACTCCTACGGGCAAAGGATATCCTTTACGTCCAAGAACACTAAGGCGCCTGCTGTTCCTTTGGGCGGGGCTTATCGGGAGGGAGACACAGGGATAAGGGGGAAGGGATGGAGTGATCAACGGAGTGACCGACGGTCGCAAGCAACTTTATTATAGGGGATATGTATTTTTTTCCGGAACTACAACCCAACTTGAACCCGTTACAGACCCAGCAATCCACAAGCCATTCCTTCTCGAAAATTGAATTATATATTTTTTTCTATCCTTCCCGCGTAACCAAGGAAAGTGCTGTACAATAATTTCAACATCTGTCCGTCATTCTCCGTCAGGTGACTTGTTGAGTGTTCATCCAAAGGTGGCGTCGTGGTTCCCGAACCTTTTCGTTGTAAACGAACGGGCCGCGTATTATGGCAAGTGGCAACACGGATTCTTTGCTGTGGGTGTCGTGGGAGCCACGAATGTTGGCAGCATAAAAATTCCATTTGATTTGGTGAGTCCCGCGCTGTATGTTCTCTCACTCTACATGCCATACTACTGTAGAGGCTTTATAAGCCGCACAAGATATTATCATTTGTAGTCGTTGATTATGCAGTAATGTGCAACTGTATCGTTCTCTACAAATGACTCAGTCTATTGGTTGATTATTGTATTATCTTGTGTGTATAAGGCATTGGAGACGAACCAGCAAAAATTCAAGCGCAACTCGTGGCTCGACTTGCGGTTCGAGTCGCCGGTGGAGCAGAGCAAAGGCTCCTACTTCGGCGAGTTCAACATGGGCTCGACACTGGTGCTCATTTTCGAAGCCCCGCGGGGC